AGATTTCTTATTATATCTATGCTATTGTAGATATTGACATTGGATCGTGTTCTTCTTTTTCTTTTCTGGCCTTTATCGTTGCTTTTGTATTATGATAATCTAATGTTGTTAAAGAATTTAAGAGAGACCATCATATTTGATTACATTTTAAACAATAACGAGATAAGGTCATGCAATATACAATTTGGTGTTTACAATTTATAGTAAAGTAATCTTAGTAATACAAACAATTAATTCCAAATTCCGGAAAAAATTATGGAGCGAAGTTCCAAAACATTTTATTTTTTTATAACGCGTGAAAATGAAAATTTAAATTTAAATTATAATGACATTTACAAAAGTTTATTGAAGATCTAACTAATGAAAAAAAATAAAATTTGTAACCTAAATGAATAAGTAAAGAGTGAAAATTTTCCTAGAGAGTAAAATAACAAAAAAATTGGAAGATAATTTGACAATTTTTTTTATTTTGAACATATGATATTTCATTAATCTTTTAAGAGTTCGTATATAAATTATGATGAGAATTAATGAATACAAATAAGAAATGAATTTTTCCTTTTTGTATCATCCGAACACCTGCAAATAATTTGATACATTGATATATCAGAAACCAAACCATTGCTATGTCCATTTTTCAATCATATACAAACGTTTCGGCGAACCGGTAGATGACTTGTAATGACGTCACCGGAAAAAAATTCTACCATCCATAGACAAAGTGGTTACTCAAAAGAACCAACTGATGGAAATGACCCCACTTGAATTGAAACGAAAACAAGAATGAGCATAATGAAAAGAATAAGAGAATTTTCAACCAAAAAGGAGAGAAAAACGACAACACAAATTAATAAATTCATTACATGATAAGAGCTTTCCGACAAGAGGCCATATTTGTAACCGACCCAAGCCCAATAAAAAAGCGAATCGGGTCAAACTAAAAACAGATAATTCAGAAAACCCTAACTTTCCTTCTTTTTTTTCCTATTTTCATTTTTCTCAAAAGCGTAACTCTCAGGTGCGTGTGTTCTCCGCTGGTTCCTTTACGAATCAGCACACGCTTCTTCTTTTCAATCTTCCTCGGAGCTCGATCTGAATTATCTCAGGTACCAATCTCGATTCTATACCTTTTTCTCCTCGATGGATGGTTAGATTTCATGTTCAGATGATTTTCGATATCGACATTGATTTTGGGGGTTTTCGGTGTATGGTTCTTTATTGATTCGAAACTGCGTTTTTTTACATCTGGGTTTGTATTAAAACCGTCGAATTTGCTTGTAATTCCATAGAGAGTGTTCGGATTTGTTGCTTTCTCTTTCTCGTTGTTTTGATTGTTGGGCAAGTGTCAACCTTTGTAAATAGATTAGAGATTTTGGCGAATTTGCAGTTTAATTACACAAACTCGTTTCACCCTTTTATTCAAAGTATTGAATTTGCGTTTTTTTTTTGTAAGGCTTGAAGTTATGGATAATTTCATTCCTTAGATTTTGCATGTCTGACTATTCTTTCATTGCTTTCAAAATCTTGAAGAGTAATGAAATCATTGTTATTAGCTCTGATTGTTAGTGGGGTTTTTCTTTGAATAATGTTTGTGCTACTCTATAGTTGTTTCCTAACAGTTTCTTATCAGATTGGTTTTCGTGTTTGTGCAACAAAAAGTAGTTTCTGCAGATTGTCCTATTAAATTCAGATTTGTTCTGCTATCAGATTGTGTATAAATATGTTGAATCTTCATCAGGCAGTTAAACTAGAGATTTCATTTTTTTTTTTTTAGATCGTTTGAGAGATGGCAGATCGATTGACACGTATTGCTATCGTGAGTTCAGACCGTTGCAAGCCTAAGAAATGTCGTCAAGAGTGCAAGAAGAGCTGTCCTGTGGTCAAAACAGGTGCATATTCTTATTCCAAGATTGAATTTGTGGTCTTTGCATATGGATTTTCTATTGTTCTTTGATTGATCGGTTGTGTCATTATTCATTGCATATGCCTAGGACTGCATGCCAAATAGTACATTGTACATAGAGGATGGTTACGTTACGTGTGAAGCCTTTTGTTTATTCTACCAAGTACCAACTTGTTGTTTCTGTTATAACTCTTAAAATTTCATTAATTAATTTATGTTTATCTTAGGAAAACTTTGTATTGAGGTGAGTGTTTCTTCGAAGCTTGCTTTTATCTCAGAGGAGCTCTGCATTGGTTGCGGTATTTGTGTGAAGGTACGTCTGCATATTCTATTTCTGATACCAGATATGCCTCTGTACATGTCACCAAAACACGGGACACTAAATACTTTCTGTTTTTCCACAATTGTAGAAATGCCCATTTGAAGCTATTCAGATTATCAATCTTCCCAGAGACTTGGAGAAAGATACGACCCATCGCTATGGGCCAAACACTTTCAAGTTGCACAGGTTCGTTTATCTATGATTTCTCTTCTGAAAACACGCTATCTCTTCTAGTTTGAAGACAATGGAATCTCTGTCTTTACTTCCAGGCTTCCAGTTCCAAGACCGGGGCAGGTCCTCGGGTTGGTTGGGACAAATGGTATTGGAAAGTCAACTGCTCTGAAAATTTTAGCGGGAAAGCTCAAACCAAACTTGGGCCGTTTCACTGTAATAGTCTCTCTTAAATTTTTGTACTTTTATCTGAAAATTGCGTCTCTTGACTTGTTAATGTTTAACTATTTTTCTTTTTGTGCAGAGTCCTCCAGACTGGCAAGAAATCTTGACTCACTTCCGTGGGTCAGAACTTCAAAACTACTTCACCCGTATTCTAGAAGATAATCTTAAGGTACAATGGAAATGGACCTTAAAGTTTGTTTCCAGAGAGTTCCTAGGTTTCATTTAATGACTCAAGTTATGATATCTTGTGGATGACAGGCCATTATAAAGCCACAATATGTTGACCACATCCCAAAAGCGGTTCGAGGCAATGTTGGAGAGGTCCTCGACCAGAAGGATGAGAGAGATCAGAAGGCAGAGCTCTGTGCTGCGCTAGAGCTGAACCAGGTCATTGATCGTGATGTTGAGAATTTATCTGGTGGTGAGCTGCAGAGGTTTGCAATCGCTGTTGTTGCCATACAAAATGCAGAGATATACATGTTTGATGAGCCATCTAGTTACCTTGATGTTAAGCAAAGGCTCAAAGCTGCTCAAGTTGTTCGTTCTCTCCTGAGGCCTAATAGGTTTGACTTATCCATCTCTGATTTTCTTTTCGAATGAGATCTAAGATAAGCTACTAACAGTGTTTTTCTTTTTCTCCCAGCTACGTCATTGTTGTGGAGCATGATCTCAGTGTTCTTGATTACTTGTCGGATTTCATATGTTGTCTGTATGGGAAACCAGGAGCCTATGGTGTCGTGACACTCCCTTTCTCTGTCAGAGAAGGAATCAACATTTTCTTGGCTGGGTTTGTTCCCACAGAAAATTTACGTTTTAGGGATGAATCTTTAACGTTCAAGGTAACTTCTGTTTTTCTTTAATGGCGAAAAGGCAAAGTTAACTCAGGGAATCAATAATGGTTTTTTACTTTGTTTGAAGGTTGCAGAAACTCCTCAAGAAAGCGCTGAAGAAGTACAGTCGTACGCTAGGTACAAATACCCCACCATGAGCAAAACTCAAGGAAATTTCAGGTTGAAAGTGACGGAAGGTGAATTCACCGACTCTCAAATTATTGTAATGCTTGGGGAGAATGGTACAGGGAAGACAACATTTATCCGGATGCTGGTATTCTCTTCCTCCATTATCTCCTCTCCTGTTGTTAGAGTTTCAGAAAGTGCTGGACTCACTAATCTCTATCATTGGTAAATCATGCAGGCTGGTTTGTTGAAACCTGATGATGATACAGAAACATCAGACATAGAGATACCAGAATTCAATGTTTCTTACAAGCCACAGAAGATCAGCCCAAAGTTTCAGAATTCAGTTAGACACTTGCTACATCAAAAGATTCGGGATTCTTACATGCATCCTCAGTTTGTGTCGGACGTGATGAAACCACTTCAGATTGAGCAGTTGATGGATCAAGAAGTTGTCAATCTCTCAGGAGGAGAATTGCAAAGGGTTGCATTAGCTCTGTGTCTCGGAAAGGTGGGTATTTTGTTTCAGAAGTCTATCGAACATAGCCGTTTAACTTTGTCCAAGTGATCTCATGCATTCACTTTGTGAATCTCTGCAGCCTGCGGATATATATCTGATTGATGAGCCAAGTGCATATCTCGATTCAGAGCAACGTATTGTGGCTTCTAAAGTCATAAAGCGATTCATTCTCCACGCAAAGAAAACTGCATTTGTAGTCGAGCATGACTTTATAATGGCAACATATTTGGCAGACAGGGTCATTGTCTATGAAGGACAGCCATCCATTGATTGTATTGCAAATTGTCCTCAATCACTTCTCAGTGGAATGAATCTCTTCTTATCTGTAAGTCACCTCCTATTCTTCTCTTATTTAACACGTATGGGGCAAGTAAAACTACGGTACTAATGTCTTTTGTTACTCTGCAGCACCTGAACATCACATTCAGACGAGATCCCACCAATTTCAGACCAAGAATCAACAAATTAGAGTCAACCAAGGACAGGGAGCAAAAGTCTGCTGGTTCATACTACTACTTGGACGACTAAGACATCAACAACGAGGTTCGTAATCTCTAAAACCCAATCCAGGCTTATCATATTATATCAATCACACAACTTTTGATAGAACCAATATGTGAAAAAAAATTTTCCTCTTCATTTTCTTTACAGGATATAGGGCATTGATCTGGATAAAACATTTTCCAAATTCCATGAAGGTCTTTTGCCCTGAGGAAGATAATACATGAACGTTTCATCAATTTTGCTTCTCAGGTTTTCCATTGCCGTCTTCCTCCTCGAGCTTTTTGTTTACTGTTATGCTGAGTTTTGTTAACTACGCAATAAGAGTTTCAGAATCTTCAAATCTTTTTTTTGGCACTTGTATTTCCTGAGTTTATGATTTCAACATCTACTGTAATGTTATTTACTTGGTTTTTACAAAGAATCTATTATTTATCTTTTTGGAAAATTACAAGAAACACTAAACCAACACTATATGTCAATAAAACTGTAACCAGGAAGCTTCTTCAAAGCTTTATCCTCCACCATCTTCCGAAGCCGTACAGCTTCGTCCCAACCTCCTAACCCAACATAAGTATTCGATAATGAGATGTAATAAGATGCATTGTCTGGTTCCATTTCAAACAAAACTTCTGCAACTTCTTTTCCCAATTTTGTGTCTCCATGATAGTTACAAGCACTCAACAAAGCACCCAACACACCTGCTTTTTGTGGTTCACCAATCCCTTTGATGAACTCATAAGCTTCTCTCAGCTTCCCTGCGCGGCCAAGCATGTCAACAACGCAAACATGATGCTCGGTTACTGGTTTCACCCCGAATTTATCCTCCATTTGGTTGTAGTAACTTAGACCTTGATCTATGAACCCAGAGTGGCTGCAAGCTGACAATAGGCTTATGAAAGTGCTCTTGTTTGGTTCCATCCCTAAGTTACTACTAATCATTTCATTGAATAGTTCTATTGCCTTTTCTCCCATTCCATGGAATCCATATGCAGAGATAACCGAGTTCCAAACAGCAATTGATTTTACCCCCGAGTTCCTAAACACCTTCATACCGGTATCTAGTATCCCGCAGCTACTGTACATGTCCACGAGTGCTGCACATACAAAAGGGTTAGCCTGAAATCCACGCCGAATGAGATGACAATGCGCCTGCATACCATAGCCTGTAGACCCAAGCTGAGTCGAGGCAGAGAGAAGACCAACGAATGTGATCTCGTTTGGCACTAACTTAAGTTTCCTGAAGAGTTGAAACACTTCTCGTCCAGCTTTATTCTGAGACAAAGCTGATATCATACCGTTCCAGGAGCACAAGTTAGGGTCAGAGATCAAACCAAAGACCTTCACTGCACTATCGATGTCTTTGCATCTACCATACATGGTGATCAACGTGTTCTGCAATTGGGTGTCAGATTTTCTCAAAGTCTTGATAGTTAGACCATGAAAGCACCTTCCTTGTAAGACCAGTCCGAGGTTTCCACAAGCCGAGATAGTACCCAGAAGAGTAATCAAATCATGACGAACTTTCCCTTCATGACTCATTGCCTGAAACGCTCTCAAAGATTCTGAATCGTGACCATTCAATGCGCAGGTATAGATTACAGAGTTCCAAGATGCGAGGTCCCTTGTTTCAGATATCGTCTCTATTAGCAAGAATGCTGCATTTAGGTTCCCGCAACCAATGTACATGTTTATAACTGAATTACTCAAAAGGATATTGTCCCCAAGTCCTATCTTTATCTGCCAACAATGGACTGATTTGCCAAAGATGAGAGAATCAGAGGAATCACAAGACGGAAGAATTGCCAACAAGGTCGACAAGCTGAACTTTGAACAAGAATAGTCACTGACAACTTCCTTGAACAGATTCTTAGCTTCTTGTGTAAACCCGTTTTGTGCGAAAGCAGATATTATCGAGTTCCATGAAACCAAGTCCCGTTCAGTTGCTGTCTTGAACAGCAGCTCTGCCTGCCTTGTTAAGCCACACTTACCGTACATGTTAATAAGGCTGTTTATTACCTCTATTGCATTAGATTGCATCTCCCTGCGAACCGTGTAACCATGAATTGCTCTGCCCTCTCGTGACAAACATATTTCACCGCAGATGGAAGTTACTGTAACCACAGTGGCTATGTCAGGCTGCATCAAATCCACAGATTGCATTTTCTTCAAAATACCAAATGCTTCTTGAAACAACCCATTTGAAACAAACCCATTAAGGATTGCATTCCAAGAAATAACATCCTTCCATAATACTTCTTCAAACACGGTTTGCGCAGCCTCAGTGTCCCCACATTTTGAGTACATCGAAATGATCGAGTTAGCCACAGCGACATAAGCTTGCGGGATATAACCTAATTTGATGACCAACACGTGGAAGGATTCACCTAAAGGAAGCTCTCCAAGAGAAGCACAAGCTGAGATAACGCATGAAAAAGTCACATTATCAGCTTCTTGTCCTGAACCAATCATCGACTTGAAGTACTTCAACGATTTACTGGGATGACCATTTGCAAGACATTTGGTCACGATTGTGTTCCAAGAAACAATGTCTCGATGTTCCATATGCGTGAAAACACACTCCGCAGAGCTCAAATCCTCACCTTTTGCATAAAGATTCATCAATGCATTGCACAAGTTAGAATCAGAAACCAAACCAGCCACTATAGCCAAACAATGAACCAGTGGACATTTCTTCGAAAGATTTAGACTGGATAACGATGAAGCTGCAAGTAAAAGCGTTGTTGAATCAAACTCGGTTCCCTTTTGAATCATCTCAACGAAAAATCCAACAGCTGCCACAGAACGACCATTTTGATTCAGTGCAGTGGTCATACTGTTATAAATAATCACATCTTTCACTTTCAGCTCACCAAACAGACCCAAAGAAGACGCCAAGTCCCCGGTTTTCGCGTAAAGCATCAGAAGCTTCGAAGATGCAGGCAAATCTTGTAAAAAACCAGTCTTCAAAGCAAAACAATGGATACTCCTAGGAGTCTCTACCTCTGTTCTCTTCATGGAGGATCTAAGCAAATCTCGCAAAAACATAAAGCTTGATTCAACCGCCCGATCCTCTCTCTGGGGCATTTCGTCGAACACCTTATAGCCAATAGAAGTAACCGGAGATAGAACATCCGACGAGAGGTGTCGCTCATGTTTTCTCTCACTGTTGTGAAAAATGGAAGAACAATGACCTGCAAGAAAATTCCGGCGAGAAAAAGAGTGCCTTAAAAAGCAGAGTATGTGATCGGAACCACAGATTCTCAGCTTTTCCGGGGAAATCGTGGCACTTCTTACCATCACCAATGGATCGGAGGTTTCCCGGCGCTGGCGAATACATATAATTTTCAATTGGGCCCTTTTGATGGTTTTGTATTGGCCCTTTTATTAAGCCTCTAACACTTATTGGGCTTTTTATTTTTGTTTTCCTAATTATTTATCCAATACTTGTATTTCACTTAGAAATCGTAAATGGTGGACAAAAGCTAGATTATTTTTTTTTTCTTTTCTTTATACGGTGTTATGGTGTATTTAATAATCATTCGTTTAGTAATCATTCGTTTGACACATGAATGTGCATCTCTACTTTTTGTATTCCCTAATCCAAGTTATAAGAGGGATTATTTAATTAGTTTCTTTTAACCAATTTTAGCAAATTTTTACTAATTGGAAAACTATATATTATTGTATTCCGTTGAGGGCAAAAGAAAATAGAAGCATATATAACTATGTTGTGGGGAAAAGAGAATGTAGTATTTTTTTTTCACAAGATGAAAAAAAAACTTTGATTATGAATTTTTAGTTTAGTGAAATACAAAGGCTATTGAAGTTTTTAAAATGGTTTATGCATGTTCTCAAAAAACAAT